GTAGTAGTAGTAGTAGTAGTAGTAGTAGTAGTAGTAGTAGTAGTAGTAGTAGTAGTAGTAGTAGTAGTAGTAGTAGTAGTAGTAGTAATAGTAGTAGTAGTAGTAGTAGTAGTAGTAGTAGTAGTAGTAGTAATAGTAGTAGTAGTAGTAGTAGTAATAGTAATAGTAATAGTACTAGTAGTACTACTACTATACTACTACTACTACTACTACTACCACTACTACCACTACTACTACTACAAAACAATGCTGCATTACCAGTGACCTTAATCTACTGTACCAGAGACTGCTCTGACTAAGTCAAAAATAGTTGTTATATTTGTCCCTTAGTAGTAGTAGTACTTACTAAATAAAATGACACATGCCCAATTCTAGTTGGTTATTGATTAAAGAATAGAAATCAAGTAGCTTGATTGTAGAAATAATGTAGCTCTTCGTACTAGGTAGCTTTAAAGTAACTGGTGTTCTCTACTTCTAACAAATTGGCAGGTATAGTAAAACTTCTATGTGGTAGGGTGACCAGAAGGCTACTTCTTTAAAGAAGTAACTTTTAGGTAGCTTCAAACAAGTAGCATACTAAAAGTAGCTTTTTTACTAAGCCAATTTCCTGTAGGCAATGTAGGGATGTTATTCTGATGAAAGTGGTGAGGATCACCAGCACCATCATTCTGGATGTACACACAAGTATGTGCCTAGGAGTAGTCATGGGTCCAGTGGTAGCTTAAAGTACTATCTGTTCATGTCTACTAGTAAGGAAACTACAAGAATGCAGAGGAAAAAGGTATTAGAATGATATCAGAGAGAGACAAAAGTAATTCTATAATGCCTCACCAGAATCAAACTAGTAGAGTCATGGAAATCATACAATGAAACAGCAGCCAGCACCACCAGAATACACAATGGTACTAGACGCATGGCCATAGTAGAAGTTATGCAAAATCATAGAATCATGGCAGAAACACTAGTAGTAGTACTAGTATTTGGTGTGGAGTTATTCGTCTCCTTCTTCCTCTTCTTGTTGGCTATGGTGCACTACACTGCACTGCACTTCACTATCTTTAGTGCAGGTAGCCAGTAAAGAATTCTTACAGTCCTGGACTTACGGAGGAAACAAAAAGAAACCTTTTTTAGTGTGGATTTGTACAAACCCTGGTGGTATACCATTTTTTGCAAATAAATTAGTACCTGACCAAAAATAGATTATTCATTTTTAACTCAAACATTCAGTCATTATTGTGACAAGCCATTCTAGCAATAACCTAGTTTTTGCACCGTAGTAACAAGTTTTTTTGGCCGCTGTCGTCCTTCAAAAAAAGAAACAATGGCGGCGGCCGCAACCAATTGTTAGTAGTTAAAATATTTGGTCAGTGTGGTTTGATTGGCTCTGGACAAAAAAATCGGTGAAAGCCAGAGACAAGTCTAGCTGTGAACTCTACTTAATCCTAGAGATACTATGTGGGAAAGAAAAGAAAATAAAACAATAAATGAAGTTCCCAAATTCTCAAATTAGCATCACGACAGTTGTCAGAATATTGTCAGAATAAAGCGACGGCGTCTGTCCGTAGCTCCCGACCACGGGCACGAGTACGAATACGATCAAAACATTAGAGCAAGAACAAAAAATACTAATAATACCAGTAATGCCATTGGTTCATTTTCGATGGCACCTGCAACGGAGATTCAGAAAAGGCTTGAAAAATCAAGTTGATCACAACAAGAATTCGATCTCGACGAACCTTCCTGCTACGACAATGAGCGACCCTACAATAAGAGGAAAGTTGAGAGTCCTCGTGATCACCCTCGGTGGCGAACGGCGGCGTCAAATAGAAGAATTGTTTGATGATCCGGTCATGGGCGAGCACTTCGAAAGGCCA